TTCCCATTTAATTTAAACAGCAACATCAGATCCACTGATACAATTTTAACTACATAGTATTCACATCTTCTTGACATTTTAGCTGACCTTACCTAAATAGTGGGGGAAGAACACATATGAAAAAAAAAAAGCAAGTAGTAAAACCATGTTGAGTAGATATGAATAGATAGTACCTAAAATAAAATTACAAACCTGTGCCAGTCCCTTGTGACTCTTCATCGCTGTCAGCATCCTTTCTTCCTTTTTTCTTGGTTTTCTTAATCTTTATCTCTCTGGCATTCCCACCACCTCCTCCTCTCACGCTTCCACTGCCCTCTGGTGGGGAATTATTTGCTTAGTACACAGGAAAGTTTTGGCACTTAAAAAGTTTACAGTACCCTAGCAATTTATCTGTGTTACTTGTTAATGCTGGATTGAAAAACACAACCTGATTCTAAACACAACCTAGAACACATATTTCAGAATCTCAGGGCCATAAGTTTCATTCTTAAGAAAAAGAAGCAACTGAAGCAAAGCTTTTTTTAAGCTAATGTCATTAATAAACACAAACACTAATATTAAAAAAAAAAAAAAAAGAGCAGGGTCTTTCTTCAGCTAAAAGCAGATGAGATACCAGAGTCCATAATGTAATGGGGCATTTCCTGTCAGCTGCAAATAGCATCTTAGTAAGCATTTAGCATTTTCATTAGAAGATGCTAAATAACTGAGTTTGTAAAAAATATTTCAGATAATGTAACTTTGTTAATTTTCAGAGAACGTATCCTACACTATAAGCATTTATCCAAAATGTTCTTGGAAGCACATATTCAGCTAACTAGAGCACTCAATCTTTTTCAACTTTTCCTAGATGACTATAGAGCAATGGGATGTTCCAGTTCTGACACACATAACAAATTACTTTCTTCAAAAGTCCTGCAATCAACATATGCAATGCAGACAGAATCTCAATTTGTTATACAGTCCCTCTTCACAAGGCAAGCTGTTCTGCTCCTTGCTCCCCTTTTCACAGCCTCTTCTGCTATTTTTTCACTTGGAAGAAATATAAACTCCATGGTGCCATATACACTATGCCTTGAGAAAGCAGGTGTTTTTTTCATTTAAATATGGTCCAAGGTTTCGAGTAACTACATTATGTAACTACTATTGTTTAAGAAGAAGAAACACAAGGACAAGATGCTATTACTTAAAAAGCTAACTGCATCTGTTATGTGCCACAGATGGATTTTTAAGCATAATTTTGCAGGAACAGCCAAAAAAAGTAAAGCTTGTGCTTTCCACAAGCTTATTTGAAATGTGACTGCATTAGAGTAATTACATTACATAAAACTGTTATGCTGGTGTGTTCTTAGGTAATGCACATAACAGTCCATAATAAAACATTTCAGTGTAGTGTTTGCTGATGGTGCAGTATGTTACCTGTGGCTATGAGTTTGTCTAGACACCTAGTACAGACTCAGTTGAGTCTCACTCCTCCAAGGGCTGGAAACCGAAGCCATTCTATTATGACAGTTCAATTAAATTCCAAGCTTCTCTACCTTAGCTATGGCCTAGAAAAATCTGCCATCTCTTGTGCTAAAAGTAAGTTTAATTTCCATGTCAACTCAGGCCTACTCATGCTTTTTTTTTTAAGAGTAGAGTGTTCTATTTTGCAAATGAGTATATTCAACCAAGCCAGATCAGTGAGCATCAGTGCTCTAGTTCTCTTACTTTTAGTAGCACAGTAACAATCTGCAAGTGAGTTCAACATAGATTGCTCAGCTCTCTTGCAGCAGCACAAGAGCCACACAAAGTTTTTGAGATTCACAGTCTTCAGACTGAATACTGTTTTAAAAATCAGAAAGATTTTAAAGGGTTAAACCCACACATTTTTATTCTTCCTTCAACTGAAATCTATTCCAAACAGTCACCACACAAATGGAGTACTGTTTGGGATTAAAACAGAATATACCTCAAAGTAAACTGTCTTAATCTCCAAGTAACTGTTACATGTACAGACAACAGAAAATTCTATGGCATGGTTTTCTCAGAAAAGATGACAAGTATTCTTCAAAAAAAAAAACCTCAAAACCTCATTCTTGATTTAGACAAAATTATTTTGTAATTAACATCTCAAGACTAATAATAAGAAACATATTCGTTTTCCTGGATCCCTGAAAAATGGAGACTAAAACTGAATCTATACTGTGTAATAAAACATGGCACAGAGTCCCTAACCTAATACTGGTTTTATTCAGTCTGATGTGATCATACTGTATAAAATAACAAATAACAGTATTCCTTGCTTCTAAAAACAGTTACCTTGTGTTGAACTAACTCAAGAGACCTTCATAGTACTTCCTCTACATTTCTAAGTCTGAAATTAGTTCTCATGGGCATAGCTGAGATGTATCAACATCCACGGTATAATGGTAAGTGGTTAGATTATTTCTTAATATCTTAAACAATGGACTGGAAATACTTAATGGACTACAAAGTATACTAACTTTTTATTTGAGTATTTCAGAGATAAAACAAGATTGTTTTGGTTTTTTTTTTGCTTTAGCTGAATATTTATGTTTTACCTGTTGCTTTCTTTCTTCTTTCATCCTTTTTGTCTTTTTTATTAGCGTATGAGTTCTCTAAACAAGAAGCCTGTTTTAAATCTTCTTCAGTGATTAAATTAACAGGGTTGTTTTTAATTTCCTAAAATGAAGAACATGCACATCATAGCAAAAAGATATACACAGCAATGGAAGAAACGTTTACACCATTTGGCCATTTTCAAGTACACTAATCAAACATGTTTTCCAAGTGTAACACATGAGACTGGGCTTCCTGAGTGCACCAGAACATAAATTACACCCATTAAATATAGAAACTTGTTGTTCATTTGTTTTGCTTCTTCTCTAGTTGTATTTCAGATGAGACGTACGGACATTTTAACAGTGACTAGAAAGTCTCAT